TAGCTGTATACACCGCTCGATGCGTAACTCGTGTAATACCGCTTAGTGCACAATGCCTCGATATGAACATGCTTGACAACTCAATAACCATATTGCTATGAAGTATTGGCCCTCAGTTGTGTACCTCATAAGAGATAGGAGCGTGCATCGACGTATAGTACAAATAATGACGTTAGAGGCTGAGTCATAAAAACCTGTAGAACTTGTATATGCAATTGAGAATACGCTCGAAGTAGTAGATATTTCAGAACTGGTCTGTGCAATTTAGCTTGTACACAGCAATATTCTCTGAATGGCTTACCTCACGCCCTTGCTGCTTTCCCCGGTCTGACACAAATGTAACCGCAACTCGCGGATTGCTTTGGGAAACGCAGATCGCAGAGACGCCATTTTGTGTACAGAATGTTGTGAATAGCTCAATGACTGCTTCAGCACAAGCTGTTTCTGTTTTATGAGACGTGTGCTACATACAAGAGGGCAGCAGATTTAATAATCCAAAAATAGCACCTTTTTTAAATTTTGTTTTGTAAAAAAAAGTATGTAGAATTCACAAACCGCGAGCGGCGAGACCCAAGAGAACCAACTTGACATTTATCGTACGGTATATACCTCAAAAAATATGTAGCATGTATTTATGTTTAGGAGGCTACTGGCTGTGACATATGCCTCATATGTTGTACACAAACATGTGTGATCGTCTATCTTAAATATCTATCATTCGTGTGTCACCAAATACTTAACAGCTTGTCTGAAATAATTTTCATACAGTAGGCTATAATAACGCGACAGTGTGCTATATTAAATTATTCAGTGTTCATAATTCTTCGAAAGTTATCCGTATTCTCTTATTCGATCGCCCAACTGCCCTAAGAGTGAGTAGAGCCATTTCCAATACAAACATAATGTGGGCTCGCTAATGATCGAATCGAACCAAGTATATCAGAATGAGATTTCTCCATGACCGTATTGCAAATGAATTTGTATCTAAGCCCCGCCCGGATTTACAAGAGTCCACGTGTACCAATCTTTTGTCGCAGAGCGGGACGCGCTATTCTGGCAACTTTAAAACACAAATCTCTGCATCCTAAACGTTTCGTTGGAAATCGGATATAGTGTATGTGCGTCTGATTGTGCAAATATTTAGTGCTTGTGCTTCGTACTGTGCAGGTATTTTGTATATACTTTTTATAGTGCTGGTATTCAGTACTTGTAGTCCCCTGTGCAGTTGTTGTTACGCGTGCTACTTAACCTGAAGGTGTTTAGTACACTTGATTTTCTATGTGCATGTAGTTAGTATGATTACTGGATACCTGCATGATATGAACCATCTTTATTTTTTATTGCATGTGATACTCTTTATGTGTAAATATTTAGTATTTATACTTTCTTGTGTGCAGATATTTTGTCACGCGTGCGGTTATAGGTACATAGTGTCCAGGTATTTAGCATGTGTTCTTCGTATTATTACTGTCTTTCGAGCAGCTATAATTTATGTGTGCTGCAGGTATTTAGTATGTATGTGGTCGTTGCGTATTTAGTCGCGTGTTTCTTGATGTGCGGGCATACAGTGCAGGCGCTTTTCATCTATAGGGAAGTTAGCACAAGCGTCTCTTAATGCGCAAGTAATTAGTGCATTTATAGGGAAGCAAGCACCAGTGCATCTTAATATGCAACTTTTAAAGTTGCAGGTATTTAGTACACGTTGCTTCCACATCATGCTTCATCGTACGGGGCGTCACAGAATATCCTGTCCGACCAAATCCATCTGGGTAAGTAAGTTGGTTATAAGAGAAACTTCTTCAAACTACAAATTCTCGTTATTTGGACTCGGAAAGCTACACATATGCGGAACCGCTCCATTTTACTGTCAGCCTTCTTTTTGGGTCGCGCTAATCAATCGGAAGCAGTTTGTATACGTTTCAAACCTTATCGCTATTCCTATGTCGAGTCATCCTGCTATTCTAAACATAATTATAAAAAACGAGCCAACTAGTTATCAAAAAGCCGAAGGTGGTCTATCACTCGAAGCCAAACCGATGTTCAGCCAGGTATAGAGTGATGACTATAAATAATATTGAGTTAACCTGGTTGTTTTCGTCTGGCTGCTATAACCTGGTGGAAGATATTGTGTGTGGACTCAATGACAGGACAGACAATCGGGGCGAGATTCTGCTGACAATGTGGGATAAAGGGCATTCGGAATACGCGTTAACAATTTAATAATCATGGGCCACTCAGTGAATACACCACGGAGCAGCTGCCCCAAAATAAATACTGGATAATACTACAGTTACAATACTAGCAAGCATGTATGTGCAGATTTACAACAATGTGCAGATTGGAGGGGATCCTTTTCTTTCTTTTATTTACTATCCTTGACTTTCACAGAAAGTTCAAGGTCTTTCGCTACTTTGTCACACAACATGGCTAATCTCTCAACGTGCGCGAGAATTTAGAAGCACTTGCGGTGAACAATAGAGGGACCAGATTCGTCGTACTCCTCCTTGGAGATCCACATCTGCTGGAAAGTAGATAGAGAGGCCAAGATAGATCCACCGATCCACACAGAGTATTTACGCTCTGGGGGAGCAATGATTTTGATCTTCATGGTGGAAGGTGCCAATGCAGTCAACTCCTTCTGCATGCGGTCGGCGATTCCGGGGAACATGGTGGTTCCTCCAGAAAGCACGGTGTTGGCGTATAGGTCCTTACGGATATCGACATCACATTTCATGATGGAATTGTAAGTGGTCTCGTGGATACCTCGAGATTCCATACCTAGGAATGAGGGCTGGAATAGCGCTTCAGGGCAGCGGAAACGCTCGTTACCAATGGTAATTACCTGTCCATCTGGTAACTCATAACTCTTTTCTAATGACGACGATGTAGAAGCGGTCTGCATCTCCTGCTCGAAGTCAAGAGCAACGTACGCTAGCTTCTCCTTGATGTCACGCACAATTTCGCGCTCGGCGGTTGTTGTAAAGGAGTAACCACGCTCAGTGAGGATCTTCATCATGTGATCGGTGAGATCACGACCAGCAAGATCTAGACGCAGGATGGCGTGGGGTAGAGCAAAACCCTCGTAGATGGGGACGGTGTGAGAAACGCCATCTCCAGAATCTAGCACAATACCAGTGGTACGACCAGAGGCATACAGAGAAAGCACGGCCTGGATGGCCACGTACATGGCGGGAGTGTTGAAGGTCTCGAACATGATCTGAGTCATTTTCTCTCTGTTGGCCTTAGGGTTCATGGGAGCCTCGGTAAGAAGCACGGGGTGCTCCTCGGGGGCTACACGAAGTTCGTTGTAAAAGGTGTGGTGCCAGATCTTCTCCATATCGTCCCAGTTGGTCACGATACCGTGCTCAATAGGGTACTTTAGAGTGAGGATACCTCTCTTAGACTGGGCCTCATCGCCTACGTACGAGTCCTTCTGTCCCATACCCACCATGATTCCTTGGTGACGGGGTCGGCCAACGATTGAGGGGAATACAGCGCGGGGAGCGTCATCTCCGGCGAAACCGGCCTTGCACATACCAGATCCATTGTCTACCACCAAGGCAGCTACTTCATCGTCACACATGTTGTTAAATGATAATAAGGATCAGTAAGACTGATTGTATTTGTACTTCACAGCAGGATTATATACCAGAGTCTACACAATTTTCACCATGTATCATTTTATTAACAGGCTGTATATTAGAGAGAGAGTAGATTGTAAATTGTGACTGAGATTTCTGTGCCCTATCCTTATCTGCAATCGTAACACAATCGCGATAAATTACAATTTTATATATATCACGATGGATATCAGGATATGTCGCCACTCGCCAAGGGTTTATCAGCCGTAGTATGCGCAATAGATTTGCAAAATGGTATGCGCAATAGATTTGCAAAATGGTATGCGCAATAGATTTGCAAAATGGTACTCTTCAGGTGATATACAGTTATAACTAACCAATAAAATTGCGATAAATCCTTGACAGATATCTTATCCCCCAATAAAAATGGCGACAGCATTCTCACGATATTTTCGGTTAAACTTTTCAATTTTGACTTTTGACTTTTCAGTGTTCACTTGGCTATTTGCTTTCAACACAAGCTTTTAGCTTTGGCCTTTGATCTTTCAGCTTTGGCAGTTTGACAGCTTGGCTTCCAGGCTTTGGGCTTAGGGTCCAACTATGTATACACTATACACACGCTACCACATACAATATGATAATTGATATCACTAGAGCCGGAGCCTCGGAGCAGATGAATATATTTATATTTTATGACTATTGTCAGTGTTAGGACAGTTTTCGAACCATACACTTCCTACTACTTACTCACTCTCAGCGAGGGAGGATGGAGAAAACGCTACGCTCTATCGAAGTTTTTATTTATAACATACGCTTGCTGATTGAAAGAGATGCCTTTATGCTAGCCCCAAGATAGATATGTGCTATTCAAAGATATGTTTGTGCAGTTGACAAATCAAATGATGGCCACGGCCAGAGTGGCAGCGACGGTGAATACCTGAATATATACAATAAAAAATATTCGCGAATACTTCTGTGCGCCAAGTAAAAATGACAACATAAGCCAATTTGAACAATCGTGCGCAAATGCACAAGTACATTTGATGGAAAAAAAAGGCGTATATTTGAACATACATTTACATATACTTTGGACGAAATTATTGGATCATTCTCAGCCTACTAGAGACATACACAACTATATACAAATCTATAGATTAATATTATACGTACACACATACATACATACATCTATATATATGTATATATATATATACACGCACGCACACACACAAACACACACACATATACATACACGCACACATATATATATACATGTACACATACACACGCATACATACATTAACACACACACAAACATATATATCAATAATTATATAAATATCGATACGTATATCTATATATATGTATATATACATACATACACACACACACATATATATATAAATATATATATTGTGTGTGTGTGTGTATGTATGTATATATATATATATAAATATATATATATATATTTATATATACAGACACACACAAACGCACACACATATATATATTAGAAGTAAAAATACAAAAACAAAATATATAAATATACATATTTATACACAAACACACACACACATATATATATATATATACATATATTGATACACATACTAAATCTATACATTACTCTCGTGTAAATTTGGAACGCGCATCTTCACTTACCTCAGAAAGAGCAAGTATCTAGTAGACACGCCAATTGTATTGTTTCGCTTTCATCGCTACAAATAGCTGAAGTGACAGCTTAATGAGACAGAAGTATCTATTTATTGTGTTATGTTGGCTAATTTATACATTACACCTTCACCATTGTATTCGTGGTAGCGGCGTGTGTGGGCGGGTCTAGGTACATTTCGGTGAAGAACTCATCCAAGGTCTTGCGCATGGCATATGCATCCTGCATATAAGATCAATACCATGGACGAAAGGTCGACAGGAGAATGAAAATTTGGGGATGTTTCGCCGAATACCGCTAGACGTGGATTGTCCCAAGTGTTTTCTTATAGTTAATAAATCAAGAGGCATATTTATGAAGCTCACAAAAATAGTTTACATAGACTGCATCGTTTTCTACACACTGCGACCATACCGCACCCTCCTCATATGTTTTCTCTAAGAGTATTAATTGACTCATATAGTTCTGTGTGATGGAGCAACAGTTGTACATGAGCTAGACCGTTTTGTACAAAATGTGACATACCTCACCATCCCCATAGTATTTATCCTCTACACCACTGATCTCAAACCCGAGCGTGTCTCTGTATAAATGTAGGGCGGCGCGATTGCTCTCTCGCACGTGCAGAGATACATATTCAGCTCGGAAACACTCCACCATCGAACGGGAAGCCTGAATAGGAATCAAACAAATTTATCAGCAGGGATTTTATGTGTGAATGTTATGCCTTTTACAACCCAATTTGTTGAAATTTTGAATTTGCCGCAAGGAGGGTGCTGACACTTTGGCAATTGTCGTTAGGCCTACAGGTGATAGCATCTCCCCCCGTTCTATTGTCTTGTATGCTCACGAATAGCGCAATATTAAAAGGTAAAATACGGATAGAAGTAGCTACTCAGAAGACTGTGATACCCAGATTTAGCAAAACGACATAATAAACATATATCCGTCACCATGCATCTGCACTATACAGATAGACACCACATGTGTTGCTCAGGGGTCGTCAGGTATTCTTGAGAGTACATACCACAAGATACATACATGTGGTACTTATGTGCATCAGAATCATGGGAAACATAAAAAGCCCATAGGAAGATTCCATGGTGAAAAAGCAATTCCGCCACGCCCGACTTGCGACAAAATAATACGTGCCTAATAGATCGCTGGCATTTCTCATCATGCGCCCGCATACCTGTCTCATAAGTTTGTAGGCAATACCCATCCGTCTGTGAGAGCGCATGACAGCAAGGGACGTAATGTGCCCATGAGGAGGAGTTGTTCCAGGGTCCTCTTCCATCTTCGCTAGTACATATCCTACGATTTTACCGTCTTCTGTCTCAGCCACATATGAGAGCTGTGGCGGAAAGAATAGCATGTCATATTCGAGAATCAGAAATACCATTATGACGTACATACAAGCAATACATATATAAATTAGCGATGTACTTCTTTTAAAAAAATGATGATAATTCACTCTTGCCTAAATAGGTACACACAAAAGTTATATGTACATACACAACTACGCAAGTCCAAATTTATGTATATCGTAAGTAGTATTTATATATAAATAGATATATATTTTCATACACACTTACGCATATGCATACGCATCCGCACACGTACACAAATGCATACATATATATATAAATATATATATATCTACACATATTATACATGCACACATACTCAACAAGCAGGCATAGTATGACAGATACACAAAAAAAATGCATATCTATATACATATATATATATATATATATATATATATATGTATATACAACGATATATAATTTTACATACATATACACATTCTTACATGCATGGACAAATGTATAAATACATACATAGATACATAAATACATATATTATGCGTACTCATATGAAGACATGCACGTATGTATATATTTATTGTGTGCAAGATAGGCAGATGAACTAATTATATCCTGTGTATGTGTCAACATGAAAAGTAGAATCCTAACCTCCAGAGGCCTGTGTCAACACGGGGGTGTTCATCTATAATACGGGACTGCATATTAATATTTCTTTAACCTATGATAATGGTGCACATAAAGCATATGTTGAACACAAGTATGTATGGATTTACGGAAATGAACACAATGATATATCACAAACATATACGTCCACTAGTAGTAGCAGTCAAGCAATATGTATCAGTTGGCGGCTATAAATACACTAATACATATGATGCGACAAGAATACCAGGACTTTGGGAAAGTCTAGCAATAGCAAAGAATACTACCAGAGAGAACATGCGTACGAAGTACATTGACCCACCCTATCACCCACTCATCCTTATATATATATATATATATACCTGTACACAAACACGAAAATACGTATAGATATGTAACACATATACTTATGCACACAAACGTACGTATAAATTATATGAAGGAAGACATATATACAGTTATACAACGTAAATTTAAAAGGACAGGGGCACATACATAAATATTTCTATATATATTTATACATAAATAGACGGTTATATTTAGATGCGTATCCATACATATATATATATATATATACATATATATATATATACATGAATGCATATATACATAAATACATATATANACTAATAATACACACACACACACACACACACACACACACACACACATATATATATATATATATGAAGCGTTTGTTATATATGTATCGTAGCTCACACACAGTGTGAAGCATTATAATGATAGATATAGCTATAGATGACCATTTTGTCAGAATATCACAGCATAAGTTCCATTCAATTACCTGTGGCCATGATAAGGCGTGGTAAAAGTAATATTTCATCTGGTAGTTCTCCGGTAAACAAATAAGATTGCAGTGCTGCATTTGAAATAAATCATCGTTGGTGGCTCTCCTGATGCAAACCATTGTGCATACCCTCTTGAAGTTTATATTGAAGCTTACAGAGATAAATATTTCACAGTCCCTGCCGGTACTTGATATTCATTTATATTTATATTATATAACTAGTATTTCTATTATCACCCGACAGCACAGGAAAGAATATGGAAGTTGGAACTGAGGGACAGCTCTCATCGCCACAATCGCTTTCTCATCTGAATCAGATACCCACCCCCCCCTGTCTATTATTTCATACATAGTCGCGTGTCGCAGGGAAAATAGAAGTTCGGTATGTTGAACTGTAAAAAAGTGATGACGTTGTTCTGTTTGTGTACCGAACAGCGACCAATACGGTCATGGCAACCATTGCTCTCATGGCTTTTTCTGTACATAGTACTTATTTGTGCATTTGCATACATATATTCAACAGTACAATTCACCTCATACATGTGAGTTTCCTTCTAGATGAAAAAGGTTATTGGGACAAGAATAGATACAATATAGTTGATGTGTGTGTGCCTTTCAGATTCTATATCATATTTAAGACGAGCACTGATTTAACAATGGCTAAAATGGAGCAGTAGGAATGAACACGACGAACTAAATTTCAAGTTGTAGCTTGTAGCCCCCCCAAGCGAAAAATTGAACCATATGCTCATCTTGAGTTATCTTATATGCGGGTAAAGTTATCCTAAATTCTATTTATATGGCTAAGTCACGATTCACTGAAATGAAAGGCGGTAGATGGGTGCGATCATGCGTGTTCGCGTTCGTTGTGATGATTTTGGTATTGTCAATTCTACTACTACAAAGTCAGAGGGCTGTTGGAGGCTTCCATTCAATTACTCCTGTACATCATAGTAAAGAAAAGAAAGAGCAGTTTTCGGCCATAGGTGCAATGAGTATGGTAATGAAGAATAAGAAGCTGAGTGCATGGCAGAATGGATTAAACGAAGAATATAGCAGTGTCAGCTCCTCAGCTGTGATTGAAGTGAGCAAAACCAGGGAAAGTACAGACACATTGTCTACAAATAAGACATTCACTGCAAATACTGACCTAAAAGATAGTAAAAATACCAGTCATGGAGATGACAGTAGTCACACAAATGCCCATGCAGTCGACCACAATAGTGTCCACACACAATCGATCTCTGAAATCAAGACAATCGGAGACGGAGAAGAGAATCAAACGATTGCTGCAACGACGTCGGTGGTGGTTCAAAGCCACGATGACGATCATGTTGAAACTGATAGTGAAGACAATAAGCTTTCCAACCAAGATGAACATAGTCAACCCAACACCAAGCCCAAGAAAGTCGAGGGTACAGCGAGTGGGAACACTTCATACATAAACGTACCTAAGAACAACACGACTGCACCGGAAAATGACATGACAAACGGAGCAAGTCTCGTTGCGCTCCCAACAGAGACACTCAATTTGGAAGCTCAGATGGCTGCTATTGAAGAACTGATGGGGAGGTTCAAATCAGAGCACGAAACGGAGGTGAGCTGTATGTTTGATTAGTGGTTTTTCTTGTTTCGATTTTTGTTATCGAATATATAGTACTATATGTTTGATGGTTAAGTTATATGAGATGTACAAAAATTTTGTGGAATAAGAAGTGCAAGCTTCAGTTGAGTTCATTAGCAACAGTCAGTTTGTCCCTATAAGGTAAAGGAGATGAAGTGGTATTTTATAGCCATGGTTGTATGCACATCATTTTTTACACTGAATCTTGCCACCTCCGGGATATCGTATAGCATCGTACAATGTTTTACCCGTGCCTCGTTGATACTCCCGTCTACTTGTATTTGGCAGCTGTACTAGTTGGGTATAATCTCTTAAGCAGCATCTGAAGTTGGTTTTGGTCAGCTTGGGCTGAGCTTGTATGAGTCATAGACGTGCAAATGCGAACGAACCTTGCATTGAGAATGCACAAGATGGCAATGCCCGCGACATTTCCGCATTCGGTTTGCCGTACTCTCTCCGTCGAAAATGCTGTTACTACCATCGATCTTGTCGCATTTACGTTCATCAAGAAAGGAAAGGGCACAATCATATTGAACTTCCAATCAAAGGTTTATTATCATGTTGACGTCAAAGCCGCTCCTGATTATTCTTGAAGCTCTTGGGAGGCTGATATATTTTTAAACTAAAGATGACTGTCGATTACAACCCACGGTTCCAGGGAGTGTAGAAATTGCAGATATGAGTTAGTTTTAAGGAGGTATACCTTTGCTTTATTGCAGCCGATATAACTGTGCCTGTGATGAGAGTCCTATGATATCTTTATACGCGCATATTTCGCAAGAGTGCATGGGCATATATAAAAGGAACGTGATTGTAGACAAGCAATCGGGAGTATCGATGGAACGCACACGCCGATCTATCGAAAGCCCAAACTCTACTCTAAATCTCTAACCCTGTAATACTCCCTGTGCTTATCTATAGGTGATAGTCAACGGGAAGAAAGTGCTCCGCAGTCTCAAAGTGGATGTATACACAGATAAAGTGACTGGTATGGAGATCGATAATACAGTATCCATCCAGACATTTGATCCCAAGCTTCGTACTGCTGCACTGATTAGTCAGAGCGCCGTCAGTGTGAAAAATTCCGAACTCAAGATAAACAGTACAAGACTCACGGCCTGCCAGCCAGTGCGATGGCATATAGTGGCCAGAGATAAGGTATGCTCTACCCGTTAGTTCTCGCCACACACTGTAGTTTGTATCCATGTCCTAGATGCATCACTTGTGAAAGTAGCTTTTTCAACGGGATTTCTTTCCGCATAATCTTGGAAACCGGCATTTGATACTGTACTAAGAAGTTAATATCAAGATGATGAGTGACTGTCTCATGCTGAGCAAGCGGGTTCGGCTCTTTCATCGGACATGCCATAAAGTACGAAGTTGCATTTGGAAACAGCTGCACTAAGTTTGGTAGACGAATAAATGCAGCGAAACAATCCATGTTAAGTGAGGTAGGTCTTGTGTGAAACACGTGAAGCACAAACAACACGCATTCTGAAGTCAACAATGCGTATCTAATGTAGGACAATAACCTTGTCACGGAAGGAGGCGAATCATTCTACGCTGAATTGAGAGGGCCAGCTATCATCTTGCCTGTAATACGGTACACCGGGGAGGGAATATACTCTATTGAATTTACGCCGTTCACCCCAGGTGAGATAACTGCTTGAGCGATTGTCCACAAGCACGTGTTATGGGTTTGCAGAAGATATTCCAACGTCTGCTTGCGTTGTATCGGGCTGCTCTTGATTGCACTATGTCATCTTGTATGATCTACAGAGGTACTTTTATCAGAAATCACTTCACATTGTGTTGCCAACGCAGACTTCTGTGAGGCCCTTATGCTGACTATATGATACGTTGTGATATCCAATATGTTTGTTAATTGTAATCGCATATAACCTAGCTATTTATGGGATGCGACGCAAAGCCTCGTCTTTTGACTGTCTACTGAACGCACGCGCAGTCACGAATAGATAATATAGTGGTATTATCGGTGGATAGTAGTATACGGTAGGAGCTGTAGCAAAATATTAAGGACCATGGCATACACTGCAGCGCAATTGAAATATTCTACTTTTACACAACCAACACATTCAAGCACCCATGTTTCCCTGCTCAAATTTAGGGCATATTTTCACTAGTTCATCTTCGATGTACCAGCTTGTTAATTAAGGTGTATGTACAACCAATCATACGAACATGTGGTGATCATCTCTAATTATATAATCGAAAGTTATCTTTCAAAAAGTCTCCGTAGATTGCAGTGCTGTATTTGTGCCGGACGAGATAGCTGCATAATCTGAGTGGGATAGACTAAGGATGGACGACGATTCGTCTACTGCGCTCTAAACTTGTTTGGATTTTCCTTTTTTATTTGTATTTTAAGGCAAATACCAACTGCAGCTTCGACACGACTTTAGTCGTTTCTCGGGGACGAGCCACGGGTGCCAGACATTAGACAAATCCGGGATGTTTAATCACTTCAAAATTGATATTGAGCAGATCAAGGTGAGTGTCAATATGTCTCTATATGTAGATTAGCGATGTTTGCGACCAATTACATGATTATCTATGAAAACTTGCAAAATTGCTTCTATTTTTAAATATTAATAAAAAAATAACCCAACTTTCAAGAGACCAACACTTCATTCAGCATTTCTGTCCATTGTGAAGTTTTTGAATTCATATTCTTGATAGAAGGTTTTCCGCAAACGAAACATCACCTGGACGGTTGCACGATTTATGTGAATGTCACTTTTCAGTCGAGGATTCAATGTGCCCGG